TCGATTTCCGGTTTTGTTTTGTAGAAAACATGAAAACACCAAAGACACTTTAATATGTTATGCGTTTTATTACGACCACACAGAGTAGCATTATAACAGAACTTTCAAATGTATCTAGTATGATAAAACTGCGATGCTTTAACCCACATACACACGACCAGAAGGAGTGGAAGTGAACGCGGTTATTTTTAAAACTGCAGCTTTTTCTACGCGGTTTGGCTGTTCGTCCACACACAAACGCAGCACCAGGTTACTGAAACCGAACATTTTTGAAACCTCCTGCCAAGTCAGTTTATAAAAATACCCATGTACGTGTGGACATGGCCTCAGTCACGGCGTCATCAAGCTACGCCTTTGTTTCTTTGTTTGTTTTGAATACGTGCCCTCTAGCGGCAAAAACAAAAATAAGACTGGTTTTGTGGTCCAGGGTCACATTTAATTCAGTGTGTTACGTGCCATTTCTCTGTATTTTTTTAAGTTACTAGCAATTTTTGAGGAAATTGTTCTTCTTTCTTAGTTTGAGTGAATTTGCCTATAATTTGTAAGGGTATTAATTACTAGCCTATTTAGAAATTCAGACCAGCTTTGTTAATGTATTTTTTCTATGGTCAAAAAGTATATTTTTTCATATATATATTTCTATCCCATATCCAAGCATCTCAACCAACCCAACACAATAACATAAACTCAACCAATGGTGTGCATTTGGGGGTGTGATTATTTGTGAAACCAACCAATGGCAGGGGGTTCAGGGAAACATGTTTAAAAACTTTATTTTTGCACTTTCATTTTGTGACACTAGTAGTACAGAAATTACACATTTCACCTTTAACAGAAGGCTTTTGCAGTCATTTTAAAATAAGCAGTGACACTGACATACTGTCTCCTGGCTTCTGAATGGTGTTAAAATTCTCTCCATCACTAATAAAACTCTGACAGGGAAAAATATAGCCATGAGCAGTAAATCTGCCTCCTGCACATAAATACTCATTCCTTCCTTAGAGGCAACACTCACTCACTGTGATCTCCAGTCTGTCCAATTTCCCTTTCTCCTGTAATATCCGCTCCTCAACACACTTTATCACTCCTGCAGCTAGAAGGTGATACCATGACGATCCTGCGGGCTTCTTTCTATATGTGATTAGAGTCTGGCTGGTCCTTGAACCTTGCTAGCGTGGTGTAGTTTTCAGGGTTCTAGAATATATTGGTGAAATTAAATCGTCCCTTGAGGCATTTGGAAATGCAGTGAAGCTGGAATGTTGTTTAATAAATAACCCAGCCCTCAGTAACCCTCTTCTGAAACACTGGCCAGGCTAAATGCAGCAAAAGCTGGTGGAGCGACTTATTGGGAAGCACCAATTAACAAATATACAGTGGGTACGGAAAGTATTCAGACCCCCTTCAATTTTTCACTCTTTGTTATAAGCGGCATATTCGCCGATACCGATATATCGGCGACAGGCTCATATCGGCCGATAATATCGGCAAAACGATATATAGGTCGGGCTCTAGTACCGGCGTTTGGTATCGGGGCATTTTATTGAGTACGAGTACAGGAGCTCAGTATCGGGCCCGATACCAGTATCGGTGCTTCCCTAATATATATATATATATATATATATATATATATATCATATAGTGGCACAATTTCCCTTCTTGTAAGTCAGAATGTGCATCCTTTTTTAGATTTAGCTGGCAAAAACAGTTATTGCTTTCATTCATTTGGCTCATCTGTGTTTATTTTGTGGATTTATTATACTATACTACATGAACCTGAAATCCTGATGGATGATGGTGGGTTAGCACAAAGTATTGTTTGGCTTAGTAGAATATTACATAGACGTGACTAACAAGACTAAAGTCAGAAGAGCCCACAGTGGACTAAATCTAGTACTGAGTATATACAATGAAGATTTTACAGACGACATACTTACTGTGTGTCAGCCATCTTTATCTTATGACTCAAACAGATAGACTTAATGGCTCGTGTTGGGGGTGTCATGGTACAGTTCATGCCTTTAACTTTGAGGCTTTGTGCTTCCAGTGTCCAAGCAATCTTGTGAAAGAAACCCCTCTCTTTATGCACATCCAGAGCAGCTCCTAATGGGATTTCAAATAGCTTGTCAAACATCTGGACTTTGTAGCAAGAGCATAGTGTCTGGTTTCTCTAGCATTACATAGGCTAAACTGGACCCTTGTGGTGCTAAATGCAATTTAGCTACAATAATAGTTAACTACAGTCTTAATGGAATTCTATGAATGGAGTTCTATAGACCTCTCTTAATGGAATTATGTTTAAGTTTACAAATAGGTCTGTATACATTATGTTCATAAGTTTTGATTTAATATTGTTTTTCATTTCATCTTCAGGGGTAGAAAATAGATAAGCAGGGCTTTCTCCTGTTTTGAATGAAAGCAACATACATGGACCACTTCTATAATATTTGTTAAGAAATATGCCGATTATACAGATTTTCTTGATTTAGTTGACTGACGTGCAAGTTTGACTTGGCTGCGGTGGGCCATTCCAGGCTAATAAACCTAATTGAAAGACCCCTGCTGAAAGCATCATCCTCCAAAAATAATATCTTAAATATGGACTATTTAACCAATTCAGCCAGAAAGAGTGAATTAGTGAGACTGATGGGATGTTTCTGTGCTAGCTCACATAATGGGTATTAACAGAAGTAATTGTAATTTGTTTGGCTGGCCAACTGCTTTGGGGTGGAACAAATTAAAGAAATTAGAACAAAAGATGTTGTACCATTTGGCTATTTGACAGTATTTCATGTTTTAAGTACAAAGAGGGAAAACAATTGAGGAGAAATGCTTGTCAAGAGGTCAGATTCTATTTTTAAGAGCTCGGACCATCACAGGAAGTTCTGGGAAGAGTGCTCAAGGTGGCGGGAAAATGTAGCGTGACCCATTCCAAAACAGAACACCTTCCTTTTCCTGCTGTTAAGTGTCCTTGTATCCCTTCTCCAAACTTAGAACTCCCCTTTTCCTTCATTTTGCTCATGCCAAGGCCTCGGGACATCCAAACATGGACAGTGCTGCTGAGATAAGGTGTGGCTGTCTTATATATAGGCAGAGCTCTTCAGGGCCTCTTTGAGGGAGTTATGGGCAAACATCAGTTTATAGACTGCTAGATAAACATCCACATATTTAGGACTACACAGACCTTCTCATGTTTCCTAGGTCAGAGTCACAGTGCAAAATTTCAGTATGTCTCCAATCTGCTAGGTTAAATTAAATGGGTGGTACAAATGAAAAAGCCTCGGACTGTGAATGTTGTTAGGGAAAATAAGTAACTGCAGCAACATGGAAGATAATAGCATAATGGGTTTATAATCCACAGCCTAGCCTTTTTGTGGCTTGAAGTGGTTAGTGTGATTTCCAAGATCCAAGAAAACGGGATCAAATATTATCAAGTATTTCTTCAGAATTAGCTTCACCAATGAATTGTTCACAATAAGACCAAGAACGTGTATTATAAAAGTAAAATGGGTCAATTTGTATTCCGTGTTGACTTCATCCTTGACATGAGGCGAGGAAACCATAGTTGGCCTGACTAAAATTTGGATATGATCCACACAGAGGGTCTTTTGTGGCTTTCTAAGTGTACTTGGCTGTGTCCGTGTGTGTTTCAGAGAGAGAAAGTGAGAAATTACCTCAGGGAAGGAGGTTTGTTACCCAGAGATCATTTGTCAATGGGTCCACGTGTTGCCTGTGTGGCCATTATTCCAAACAAAGAGACCCAACAGCCAAGCATGGCATAGAGCCATCAGGCTGCACTGAAACCTCTCCTGCCTCCCCCTACTGTTTCCCTCAAACACACACTTACATGTACCATATGCATCAGCATCACACTGCCCTGCAGGCCCCACACTCTCTTCCCAGTTTTTTGTTCACTTGAACGTCTAACAAACTGGGATACAATCTTGAGCTTTGTAAGACAGAACTAAAACTTTCCTTTCATTAAAATGGGAAAATGATATGAGACATAGTTACTTGTATAGTAGTAGATAAAACAGCAAAAAGGGGAAATGAAAAATCAATAAGAACAACCTTGTACAGTGCCTCAAAGTAAAACAAAAGCAAAGAACGTGCACTTCCATTTTTGGGCATTTCATTCCCATCCAGGCTCTTTCTGACTGAACCAAGAGCCGCTTTTGTTTATCAGAAACCTCATCTGCTTATTTTCCACTGCCTTTTGTGTTTAGCCCAACAGGTGCTGGAGTCTGGTGCTAAATAAAAGAAATTAAAAAAAGGACAATGAAAATGGGTGTTTGCTTTTGGTCAGTGCAGCTGCGTCCCATCACTAAAGTGAGGCATTAATGCGCAAGCCTGGATTCATGTCTTCTTTTTTATAGAGATTTATACTTTCAGAGAGATTAGAATCTGGTCTCAGCCAGTCATATTGCAGAATAGCTGGGACTTGTGGGAAAGCTGCCAATAAGACAAAGGAAATGTGAGGATTGGCAGCGACGCAGGTGCAGGGTAATTAGAGGGGCAGCAGCTGCCACCGGTCAGACATCTTGGCACGAACGCTCTCTTGTCTTTGCCCCTCCCTTGGTTTTCCCCATCTCCTTTCCTTTAAGCTTTCCACTCCAAGCGTGCAGTTAATGTCCGTGCTCTCTCCCAGCGAGTCCATTGAGTAATTAGCACTCACTTGTTCACCAGAATGGAGAATATCAAACAGAAACTCTAAGCAAACCTTCAGGCGTTCTAACGCCTTTTTTTGAAGAGTCTGTTGACGAATGGTCAAAGCAGACAGATTTAAGTCAGCTTTATCAGACTAACATAAATCGAAAAAAAATCTATACTAAAACATTTTCATGACTCCAAAACCATTTTAATAGCCACAATTTAAAAGACTAATCTAAACAGACAAATTGAAAATAAAACAGAAATAAAACTAAAAACTATAAAAACCCTGTATGAATGTCATCTTTGATGACATTTAAGAGAACTGAAAATCATGAGAACTGAAAAGGGTTTGACTTTATTTATTCATCCTGACAATATTCAAACAACTACTGTAAGCTATTGTATGAGCGGAACAATTCAAGTCACATATTTTAGTAAATATGAGTATCCATCCCAAACAATGACTGTGCAAATGTAGACGTTGTCACTGTAGAACTGATTACATCAATGTATTTCTGTCTGAAAGTATCTATTTTGCACATCTGAAGTGTTATTTCCACGGTTATCAGACAGAATCCAGATCCCACTATAGTATGATCCCATTAAGATTGAGAATGGCTATGGAAAAAAAGAAGATATGAACATGATGAGACAGGGATGAGATAACATAACAGAGAGAGACAGTGATGGACAACATAGGAATAGATAGATAAAATTTATCCAAAAGCATCCAGTAAATGTTTTGCTTACATTTTTCTATCTCATGCCTTGTCAACCATTCGTTTCCCAGTCCACTTCCTTTTTTCTGTTATGTGATTTATCCAGAGAGAAGCATCATGTCTGTTGAAAAAACGAGATTTAGGCTTGCGTCAGTGCGTCCAGGTCTAGGGCAGTGTGGGACACTGAAGCCTGGATTAATCCTATTTACAGCATGGCATTACTCTAATTAGCCTGATCTAAGAGACACTCCAGCCAGACGTCCTGTGGTGATGTCATTACCTGCTTCTCTGCCCAATCCAACTGGGTGGGTTCAGCTGTGTGTCCATTTTAACTGTCAGTTCATCCAAAACGAAAAATTCTGTCATCATTTACCCACCCTCATGTTGATCCCAAACACTATGAAAGATGTTTTGATGAATGTCCATGCTGGTCCTGGATCTCAACAGTTCACATTTTGGATGTCTCTCTAATCTGACGCAACAATTTCCGATCTTTAAGTCATTACAAACGAGCTGATCAGTCGAATCGGGTGTGTTTTATTAAGGAGACATACAAAATGTGCAGAGTTGGGGGTACTCCAGGACCAGGATTGGGAACCACTTTGAAGCTGCCCATTAATAATGGATAAACAATGGATAAGCTGGGCGTGGAGTGAAAAAAAAAGGCACCTTAAAAGCCTTTCATCAGTCATCAACACCAATACCTTTTTGTGGCAAGTTTGAATATGTGCGATTAACAATACAATTGGAAAGCTGTGGCTGAAGGCAAGGAACTTGACAGCACCTGATCATATACTTTTGTTAAATGATAAAAAGCAGTGTGAACATTCTTCAAAACGCATCTCTTTGGAAGAAAGGAAGTTGGTTTGGATCGACATAAAGAAAAGTAAAGAGGCCACCAGAAAGATATTGGTTTTTAAATTTGCAACTAGAATTTTTGGGTGGAATATGATGCTGCTCCTATTATGTCTTCATTATCTCCTGTGACTTTTTTTTTCTTCTTGCCCATAAATGACTGTAACAAGTTTAAATTTATCTCCATCTCGCCTTTAATAATTTTGTAGTTGTCTTAGAGTTAGTGCCCTTGGGCCATCCCCACGCTCTCCTTAGGAGTGTTTAATATTTTTGCTAATTAGCACAGACTACCACACAAGACACTTTGAAGCTCTTAGAAAATGTTTTTAAAGGAAAATTAAGTCCTTATGTTGGGACATTGATTTGCAGTTCAGAGCACCTTATGCAGCAGGCAGGGTTTTTGTATGCAAATCAAAGACTATGTACTTAGATTCATTTATCTCAGCTAGATCTGAAAGTCATGAGAGCCGATGATGGGATTCAGAGTGCTGACAAATGGAAGATGTATATATCCAAATATCCAAACTAGACATTGCGATCACACGTAGGAGGAGCAGAAAATGGAGAGGCAACACTTTAAAAAAATAACCTTTGTATTAACATTAATGTAAGAGATAATATGAAAGGACGATGTACATTACTTTTAGAGTATATATTTATATATTCATTTCTACATATACAAATTCATTTTTAACAATTCAACATTTCATATTAGATAATTACCTCAGTTAATAAACACTGTAAAAATAGTGCACATAGTTTTAACAAAGTTAACATAATTGCAAAGCTTTACCAATGGAGATCTACAGTATCTTTTGTGATACATGTACATGCATTCAAGCTCAAACTTATTCAAGACCTCACACAAATAGGGTTAAGTTTTAGCAGCATTACTTACATGTCCAAAATATTGTATTTCACTTAACCTTTTTTTATTTGTACTTGCTGTACTATGCAAGTTTTTCAATGCTTTAGTGATAAGTGTAATCCTAATTCTAATCCTTTGTTGACTCTTATTCTGAAGGATAGAAAGAAAAACGGTTGTGTCACAGATATTACTTCATTCTGTTTGCACAGTAGCTTTGCGTATTATTAGGGAATAAGTCATTTGCTGACCTGTTCGCCTTGTATTTTAAGGATTAATCTCTAAGCATAACATGTTGTGTCCTTCATCCTGATTGAAATGAGTTACGTCCTTCTAGAACTAATTATAGAGGGTTGGAGAACTGCTTTTTCTCTTTCGCTGTCGTTTGCTGAGCCACTCACACATACTGTAATGGGTCTAAGAGGGTTTATCTGAGACGAGAGCTAATCAACAGTCTCTGCGGGTCATTGTCAATATATAGAGACAGACACAGGAAGAGAAAGAGAGGCAGAAGGAGAGAGAGGCCCTCTGGAGGTAAAGCCTCTCTCTTTCCTTTTATCTCCATCTATCACACTTCTTGACCTCCACCTTCTTTTTTATCTTCTGGTCATTTCCTTCTATGTGTAACAGTAACTGTGTGTATCTCTTCTCTCTCTTTCAAACCAACACTGATGTGAGTATGCTAATGCAAAGCAACTTACAGAGTCATTTATTGACAATAAACTTTGTAAACAAATATTGCACAGGGTCGATATCAAAATATTTAAATATCCATCCATCCATTCTCCAAACCTCTTATCTTCTGTAGGGTCACAGGAGGGCTGGAGCTTATATATTTAAATATGTGAAATATTTTTTATGGTTAGAAAACTTTCCCTATACATGTGGATATTAAAAATGAATATTTAGAGGAAATATTGCTCTTTAATAATGTATATATATATATATATATATATATTTCTGATGCAGATGTTTAAGCTAAGCATGCAAAATCCATTTTACTGAGTAGGTTAAATAATGTTCTCCCTCTCTTTAAAGGGGTCCTATTATGCTCTTTTACAAAGTCTTGATTTTGTTTTGGGGGTGTACTAGAACATGCTCTCATGCTTGGTGATTCGAAAAACGCATTATTTTTCACATAATTTACATTATTAAAATACCTTTCTCCCCAGCCTGGCACAAACGGCTCGATTAGTTCCGGCTTTGATGAAGGTCCGCCTTCCGAAAAACAAAATGTGTTGTGATTGGTTAGCTGTCCCAGTGCGTTGTGATTGGCGAACAGCTTAGATGGTGTTTCAGTACTGCCACGCCCCTTGCTCCGTCTTTCAACAAAAGCTTTTGGCGAATCCGGCACTGTACTGTGTCATGTTGTGGAAGCTGTCCTCAGTAAAATGCGAAGCACACAATAGCAAATTGGGGTTATAATGCTTTAAAAAATAACTAAAATTAAAAAAGTGAAAAAGCATAATAGGACCCCTTTAAAAAATATCAACGGTGTGGCTCTTAGGAGGAACGGCTAATTTTAACAAGCTAATTAGCACCGGCAGGATACTTTTAGTGCTAATATTTTTGTCTGGGGTCTGACTGTCTTCGAATGCACAGATGAGGTCTAAATACAGGGCACACTCCAGTGGGGCTATCAGTTACAAAAGGAGGAATGACAGTCTTCAGCTTGTTTGAGTGCTAAGCTATTATAAACTAAGCTAGCCTACCTCTAAACTACTGTAATATGCTATTTTAGGCTACTAGGAGAGGGGAAATTAAATTTGGCGTACGCAAAACACTTCGCTAGCGCAGCATTTCATTCATATTTTGCACTATTTTTGGCAGACGGGCGAGGAGCAGTGGGTATGTTGTGCTTATAGTACTATGCTAGCCTACTATTACATTACTATAAAGTTCTATTCATGGCAGCCAATGAGTAACTGGTATAAATGGTAAAGAATGTAAAGAGACACTCCCTGGCAGCCGTTTTGGAAATAACTTAGCTCTTATGTAAAATAGTAATGCGTTACATGTATGCTAGCTGTCTTGAACTCACTTTATTGTTTGCGTATTGTACTGATCCAGAGATGTGAACAGTAACTAGGACTCGAGTTAGATTTCTGAATTTGTTTTTTATGTTTGTTGAATGAATAGCCATGTACGTTTTTGGTAGTTGTCAAAAAAGACTTGTGACATAGACATCTCTATGCTTCTGGAAAAAAAAAGAGCATAAAAAAGAGCAAACCATCATAAAGTGGTCTAGCTTTTCTCACAGCCTGGTCAAGCTAATGTTTAGCTGGTCTCCTAGGTTTGCCAGTTTAGAAATGCACCAACAACCAACAACAACAACAGCAAAAAAAAATAAAAACATATGCTGGTTAGGTATGTTTTGAAGGATGGCAGCTGGTTTGAGCTGGTCCTTAGTTGGTCATGAGCTGGTTTAAGCTGGTCCTGAGCAGGAGCTAGCTGCTTAAGACCAGCACATGACCAGCTTAAACCAGCTAAAACTAGCTGCCATGCTTCAAAACATATCTAACCAGCATATGCTGGTTTATTCAACAGGGAACCCTCTAAAACAGTTGAGCCAGGGCCCACTAGGGGGCCTCTGCAGACTTTTTCTTTTTCTTTTTTTCCAGTATTGCATAATTAGTGGTAGACATTTAAATCTGTAGGGCTGATTAACCATCCAATAGTTGTCGATTATCTAAGATCAACCATTGAATAAAATCATACTGTGTAATACAAAATGCTAATCTGACAACTGATAGCTAACTGCATATCCCACCTCTGTCCCACAGACAGTGAAGTCGTCCCTCCAGACCTTCTCCGCCCACGATCCTTCACCACAGTACGTGGATCCACCTCGTTACGACGTGAAGCAGACACCTCCCGCCTGTCCGTCAGTCTTTGTGATCTTAACCTGCAACAAGATGATGCCAGACTTCGGCTCCCTCCTGCCCCCGTCGCCTGTCCCATTCCTCAAAATTCCATGAACTCCCAGCAGTCGTCACTGCTTCCTCACACCTTGGAATGTGACCTACGTTTCCACCAGCTCCGAGGTGCCCACATCAAAACCCTTAACGAACAGACCGTGGCCCGATCCGAACACAACCGTGAAGAACGCACGCTGGTCTTCACAGATCGCCCACTGCGAATTGGCGAAACTATCTTCATCAAAGTCATTAAGTCCAGCCCTACTCGATCTGGGTCTCTCTCATATGGTGTGACGTCATGTGACCCAGCAGTGCTTCGCCCTAGCGACCTCCCTTACAATCCTGAGGCACTGGTGGACCGTAAGGAATTCTGGGCGGTGTGCAGGGTGCCTACTGCTTTGCAGAGTGGCGATATCCTGGGTTTCCTGGTCACACAGGAAGGGGAAGTCATTCTGAGTCATAATGGCAACAATGTGGGTATGCAGGTGTGTGTGGACAACTCACGACCACTCTGGATGTTCTTTGGACTGCATGGTGCTGTCACGCAGCTAAGGATTCTAGGTAAGCATGCCAACTCTATAGTTATGCATTACATTATCTAGGTGTGTTAGTCCGACTTTAAAAAAAAAAAAACACTTTGGGTGTTTTTACACTAGCAGTTTAGTTCAAAATAGGGAACGGTACACATTAAAAACTGATCATCTGAAAGCTGTCATGAAGGCCCAGTAGTGCAATAGGGTACCGAACTAGAAACCCCCTGTAGGAATTCGGTTGCACTAGAACTGTGGTGCATTCAACTTGTTCAAGTGTGGAACGTGGGTAAATAAAGGAGGAATGTGTCAGTCATTTACATGTGCCACACTTCCTGCTGCCAGAGGGTGGCGTTATGAGTATACAGTAACTGATTATTGGCCTTTAGATGTGTTCAGGCCAGGACTGACTTTGGGGCAGATTGAACATTGCGTCTTTGAGTTACAACTAGTGTTGTCAAAAGTATAGACTTCGGTACCAGTTGGTACAAAAATTTTAAAAACCTCCATTTCCCGCTAACATTTGAGCACTGTTGAGCGAATTCTTGAACACCGCTGATTGGCCATTGTATTCACGCACTCAACAGATATAACTGTAATTGGCTACTATGATCATCACTTCACGCTCTTCACCGAGCGCTCACACAGAAGCACACGGGAGCGTTTGAAATCCACGTCTATCAGCGGATCCCTAATATATCTGCACATAGACGGATCCGCTGACAGACACCTGCTTTCAAACACTCCCGTGTGCTTTTGTGTGAGTGCTCGGTGAAAAGCGGGAAACGATGATCATTGTAGCCAATTACAGTCATATCTGTTGACACATTGGCCAATCAGTGGTGTTTAGGAATCTGCTCAACAGCACTCAAATATTAAAAGAAAATGGACATTTTTAAAATTTCAGTACCGGCTGACAACACTAGTTACAACAACTTCTGGTTTTATGGCATTAGTAGCATGCTTTATCTCTTAGCTAAGTGTTTCTAGCATGGTTTAGCATGTTTATAGCATGTTTGGGACTTGATGGCATATTTTAATATGTTGCAGGGAGTGCATTACAGTGTAAAACATGCCATTTCCTGTTGCCAGCAGGTGGCGCTATTACTGTAACTGAATATTGGCATGTGCATGTCGTCTGGCCAGGACTCTTATGAAACCTGTAAAGTTTAGGGCCGATTGAACATTGTATTCCTGAGTTGCAAGTGCAACAGCTTCTTCATTCTGAAACCCAGATGTAAATTTTCGCCACTTTCGATACATGTGCAAAGTTTAATGAGTGTTGTTGTTTAGGCTCTCAAAAATGCATTTATTTCAGAGGAGGAGAAGAAGAAGATATAACCCCTAAGATATACAAAGTATGTAAAGAACATTACAAACCTGTGCTGTTGCTATTGTTTGTATCAACAGATTCATTTAAAAACTTTGTTCATTTGATTTTAATCACTTGAATTTTGTTGATACCACAAATACAGGCACACTCCAGTAAACTTTCAAAACACCAGACAGTGCTCCAGGTCTCACCCACGCACCTGCGACTGACCCAATAAAGTTTGAACTCAACAAAGTATGTGCACACAAAAACATACACAGCTAAAAACAGGAAGTATAACAGGAGTTTGTGTGGGTGGTCTCTGACCTCTGTTAGCTGTGTATGCACTATCCAAGATGTCGGTGTCACTGGAAGCACATTCCCCTCCCTCCACCAATGCCACTCACCCCATCTCATTAGCATGCGGTGAAGGAAAGGAAATGAGAAAGTGAAGAGGAGAGTGGGCGATTCACACTTCATTTGAGAACATTCATTTGAGAACATTTCTCTCGTTTACATCTCTTCTCTCTATTTCTTATTCCTATTTCCCCTCTTAGCATAATGTTTTTGTTCTTTCAAGATTCAAGGTTCAAAATGTCATTGTAATAACAATTTACTTGTTAGAAAATGGTCTCATTGTGCTCATTCAACAGTAACGGGAGAGGGAATATACAATGAAGACATGAAAAATGAGGAAACCTGAAAGAAATACCAGAGCTTGCAAGACTGCAAAAGAATGAAGTTTTATGTAAGCTTAGGCTTTAGGTTTTGGTTCTTGGTAAATGATGATAAGTAATATAACAATATTAATCAATATATTATTACTAATCTGTAAGTAGATTATTGTCTTGATTCGCAAAATAACTTGTGAAGAAAAGAGACAGCATAATGATACTAAAGATGTAAAAGTTGTAACTGTGTTGCCATAGACAGTGGTTGATCAGGAGAATCCATGATTGATGCCATGATTGATCAGGAGAATCAAGTATTCCAGAGAGCTGTGCAATAAAGATAGCCACCAGAAAGACTAATCACAATTCAGAATGGAAATAAATCCAAGTAAGAAGACTGAATCGCAATTCAGTATGTAAATATTGACTGTTGGTATGCATACAGTGACTGTCGGTTAGATTTTATTGCCCTGCAACCACTTTAATTAAATCTAGTTGTAATAAATTAAATGCACAAACACATGCATGTAATAGACACAATACAAACACTTCCTTCTTGACTCTCTCCATTCCCAGTTTATCGGCAGTTTGTTGCAGGTATCTGCTAGCTACAGTAATTGATTACTGAACTCATGTTTTTTCCCCATGACGTCAGTAAGAGCTAACAGTGATGGTAACAGAGACTATACATATGAAATATACTTGTTCTGAAATCAGTGTCGATGTTCACCTGTTCAAATAGTGTGAATATTTGAAACTGAATAAGTGTGACATTTACTTACTGTAAGTACTATTCAATTTTATGTACCAAATCGCTTACACACTGAATGCAGTTCACTGCCCCTAGTAGCCAGCCACCAGTAATTTCAATTCGATACCCCAATGTTGGACATATGTGAAGACATGCAGCTCACACCTTTACTTAAGAATTATTTGACAGATGCACAATGTGACTGTTTATACCATGCAAGCTGGTGTAGTCAGTACCCCTTTGATATTCAAAATACAGAAAAGCCTTTCTGCCATGTTTGCACATAGTGCTCATTTTACGCATGACAAAAGGCTTTACGGAGGCCTGACTTTCTCTAATAGGTTTTTTTTAAGTCTCTCCCTCTATGGGTGGAGGTTAGAGAGACTCAGCTGTTCATGTGTCCCTGTTAATCTAGTAGAGATGCTCTTGAAGAGGCCTGGCCCTTGTGATCCAGGGCCAGTTGCTGAGGCCTAGAGAAGGGGATTTATGATATGTCTATGTGTGGAATGACAAGAAGGTGGAATGGCATGTCAGACTCACAAAGGATCACGCTCAGGGGACCCCACCCCGTATAAAACCCCTCACCCTGTCTCCATCTTAATAAAGGATCACGCTGTAGGACTAACATACTGTATGCAAACATGTGAGCAAAGTACACACACATGTAAATCAAACCACTGAGGGACCTAAAACAAGACCTTGGGGAATCCCACTGACTCCCATCTAATATTGTCATAGACCTCATCTAGAGTAAATGCACTCTACACACACATATCCTAACCTCAAGAGGATTATGTATTCATGGGTTTTAGTTCAGGTTAGTTTCAGTTCAGCCAATTCTCCCTCCCATTTACGCACTCGTATATCAGAAGATCCAGTAAACTAGAAATGAGGTCAGTTCAATTTAATTCAGTCTCAGCTCTACAGACTACATTAAAAGGCCCAGAAATCTTACCGTGGCCCTTATTAAGGGTGGAAATTTTTAGGAAATTGATGAGTCCAGTTCCGATTCAAATTCCAATTAATGACTTCCCTAATGATTCCATTAACAATTCTATTAGAACTTGAACAGACCCCACCCCTCCAATAATTAATCATATACACCATATTTAATCAAATAATAAATAATCAACATTTTTTTCCTTATATTAAAATACTATTTAGTTCAAAACTGAAAATGTATTTTTCACTACATGTTGCTATATGAGCAACCAATCAGTAGGCTGTATTTATTTGCAGTTCAGTGAATAAGTCAATAAGTGCTCCAAATGGTGATCTATCACTGAGAGAATTGCTGTTCTATTTTATTCAAGCTGTATAGATTTGGTCTGCTGTTAAAATGCTGGTTAATGCAAGGTGGCTTCCCCATTTTGTTGCCTGAGTGTCAGATCTGTTAATGAATCACAGGCCACCATGGTCTTTAAAGGTGTCAGATTCAGATTCCATCCTAAGCTCCTGCAGCCAGAACAATGTACTGAGATTAGTGAAACAAACACCCCCATAACATTCACAAATGCAGCACCTGTGCCATTATACATTATGTTCTATGTAGTTCTGCGAAGAGGGTGACACAGTTACAATAACAGCTTCAGATATAGGCTACAGCTCCTTGAATGGTCTCTTTTTAAAATGTCATTCTCAGTGTTCACTGACCATCTAATCTATATTACACAAAAAAATAAAAAAATATATTTTAAAGCAATGATTGTCTTTACACAATATCTGAAACTCAGCACAGGTCTACAGGTCAGAAGCCATGTTTAAAGTACAGGGTTGCATTGAAATGTTTGTGCCATTACAATCATAGTCAAAAGTTTGACCGTTAACCAATTACATAAAGTTATTTAACATTAATTATAATAACACGCATTTTTCTTGTGTACAGAATCCATTATTAGTAGAACTGAAAGGAACTGAATCACATTAAAAATCTTGCCTGTTTATATACTATGTGCATTTTCAGGCTCCACTTTCTTGGGTGATGCTCGTGACCCATCCAGCCCTGGCTCGCCCTCTGCCTCGTCCCTCTCGCCCTCAGGCCTGTGCGGTGGAAGCCCAGAGCCCAGTCTCAATGAACGTGGCTGTTCTGCTGCCTTCTGCAGCTCTACTGAAGGTCTGTATGTTCAGACATACTGTATTTCATAACTGCTCCAATTATAAATTAGTGAATGATAATCAAATTTTTTCCTGTCACAGGAACAACACCCAGCTCGCCCATCAGTCTCCCCAAATCTCCCACTTTCCCATCTGTCTCAGGCTCATGGCAGGATGAGTGTTCTATCTGCTATGAAAACACAGTGGACACAGTCATCTACGCCTGCGGACACATGTGTCTCTGCTACACCTGTGGCCTCCGCCTAAAAAAAATGGCCAACGCTAGCTGTCCTATCTGTAGGAGAGCTATCAAAGACATTATAAAGACCTACCGGAGCACTTAGGGGGGCCCCCTCACCCCCCAAACCCAAGTCTCATAAGGGCCATTAAGGATCTCTAATAGATCTCTGTTTCAAGAGAGGGTTGGTGCCACAGTTCAGGGACTCGCTCTGGCACTGCATGGGTCTCCTTTCCCATGGCGATGCCTTTTGAACCCTTGAACCTTCAAGGCTCAGGCATCCATTCACAAAGGTCTTTTGTATTTCATGCTCAAGTCTCTGTTGCTATGGTAACCAGTGATGTTGCTGCTTTTTAGAAGCTTCTGGCTTTTCAACTGACGTAATACAAAAATCATAGACAGTATCTCATTGAATTCAGGACATTTCAGGTGACACAGGAGATAATAATCAAGTTTGCACATCTCCCATTTCTTCTACCTTCTCCGTGAGCCATAATAGACTCTCATTCATAGCATAGCTGCATATCCTTTAAAGCTGGAATCATATTCAATAGGGGGTGTTACAGTCTATTATTTTTTCCTTCTGCTGTCCTCTCTAGTCAGACCAGCTAAGGCACTTTCACGATTGAAATTCATACAAAAACGTCTCAGAGTTTCACAATTTTTGTCTGTGCTAGGCTGAGACAGAGGCAGAAAGACAGATATAAAGGTACAGTGCTTTTCATACCTCACCATTTCATGCTAGTTGTGTAACCAACAGCTTGCCCATAGTACATGCTATAAAGTGAGTTGATCTGGAGGTCTTTGTGCATTGATGACTATTTGATCATGTGTTTCGTAATGTAATATGAAGCTTTGGTAGGTAGCAGGTGAAGTCAGCTAATGATCCGCTATAATTTTGCTTATGCGTGCGTTCAACAAGCAGGACATTGTGGTGGAATTAAAGAGATATAATTTGTTAAAACAATACACAGGCATGATTAACCAAGGAGTCATGTGGCTGATACACATATATTAAGTTATATAACAACTCATTTAAAGAACATTAATATTGGATATCTTAATTGATCCAACGGTGCTGGGAAATGTAATCGCCACAGAGAAGTGCGGTTAAATAGAGCACCTCATCTCACGACCCAAAAACATGTTGGCCTAATCAAACCTTGATTTACTGTGAACTTGTTCTCGACTGTCGATTGGAACACGCACACTCTGGGTTTTCTGCAAAAGCAATTGCAATGTTGCCATGGAGAGCAAAATCTAGGAAGAAGGAAAACAGCCTTGAGGCATTAACCAATGAAAGAGTCATTTGTGGTGAGAGGATATTTGATTTGCCCAGTTAATCCATATTTCTCCCAGCCCCCCACTGCCAACAGTTTCTGTAGGCCAAAAGTGGTGTGTATGGGGATAATAGTGAGCACAGACCACTGATGAAATAGCAAATTGATTAAAATGGAATATGTTTGGGAAACAGGCCGGCTCAGTGTTCCTGCTGGCTTTGAGAATGAAAAAAGCAGGGTCAAAAAGATGATCAATTTCTTTTTGACTCACCCCCAAAGCCAAATTCATGTTAAAAGTAGCATTTGACAGCAGACTTCTCTTTTGAAGCTTTACAACTGCATCCAAACAGCTTCTCAAGGTAATTTAAGGACAATTAAGGTATAGAATGTCTTGCTGCTGTACCATTGACCATTGAAAGGTGAACTACAGTACATCCCTTATCTCGCTGAGATTGATGTTAATCAGTGAAGAGTTAATACAGTTTTATATTGTAGAGGTAAAATGCATAGATGAATGTCACAAAACCTGTCAAGAATATGCCATATTTCACCTCAAAAATCTAAAGAAAGAAATGGGAAATTGCATTTTGATTTCAAGACAGTTAAATATTTAACATTTGCATTTACAGTATTTACAACAATTAAGCAAATATTCCCTCTTAATTTACTTTTTTTTTTTTTTTTATGTCCATTGCGGTGCGTAGTATGCACACTGAAAAATAATAATGGTATATAGCCAAAATTGTATTTATTGTTTGTATATAGAGTATGTATAGTACCTTTAATTTAAGCAGATACAATCATGACAATCTATAATGAAAATCACAAAAAAATATAAAGCAAAACATTCTTATGTGTGGGAAATATGCTTAATTGTGCATTTGTGTGACTTTTGTCATTGTCTTTATAATCTTGAAAAATCTTGATATGTGACATGACCATGCTTTCATGAGATTGGTGAGGTCAGATGTCTTATTCATCTTGATGTGACAGATAATTTGCATTCAGGTCAGCGGACAGCAGGAGCAGGTTTGATTTTTGGTTCTAGATCCACTATAAACGTCACTTCAATATCCCACACAATCCATAATCAATATTTTTTAGAAATCCAGATCACATTTGATTATTTATGGCAAATAAGCAAAAGAGAACACGACGATGTGCATTTGTGTGCGTGTGGATGTTAAAGCAGCTCAAGAGTAATATCAGTGAACTACAATGGACTGCGGGCTAATATTGTTCATAACTAGCCAGTTAGCTTGTGTAAAGCAATCGTGATGACTGGCGCTTAAATTCATGCTGCTATTAGTATTAGCCAGCTCTCCTTCAGGCAATGCTAACACCGTGTCGAGAAAATGTCCTGTCAGTCTTGACAGGATATTCTGTTAAGAGTTTTACTCTATCGTTTGAAGTGGTGATTCACTTTTGAATGTTAATTTATGTTAATTAAAAGAACCTATTAGCATAACTGTATCTGAGGTGTTGCTATAGCCCTTTGTTTTTATTATTATTTTTTTTTTCCTCTTTTTTGAATTATTGGACCGAAATTATGATTGTATAGTTTGCTTGTCAGTCCTCTGTGGTTTATATGGAAGTGTATTTCTTGAATTCTGTGCTGGTTTTCTTGTACCCAACAAGCTGTGAGCAGTACACCAATCAGGGGCTTTGCAGTAAACAATCATAACCAGCTTTTTGTTGGGAGCAAGATGAACTAAAGATTATGTACACTCCCTTTGATATCAGGTGTTTTTGATTTCATTGGCAACGTATTTCCTTCGGAGGTGTCTATTTATGGTGAAATTTTACTGAACTGAACTTGCTAAAAGTTCATACAGTTCTGAAAATCTCCTAAAGGCCCAATATTTCTGTTTAGAGCGTTCGTTTTAAAGATTTTTGAAAAACTTTACAAACCTTTAAAAACCTTTTGAAAAACAGCAAATTGACAAAGTTTTTCATCAAACAAACCTTGCACTTTTTTTTTTGTATAAATTTCCGTCACTTTAAAAGAATCAACATTCCCCCAAATGTATTTTTTTTTCTTTTCACCCCAGTTTTGTATTCTATGTCTTTTGCACAATTTAGGGTGTAATATAAGGGCAATCTTTGTGTGTCTGTCACTTCATAAAATTTGATTGTAGTTTTTGAAAAATGTTACCAGTTTTTTACATCATATTTCTGTTGATATTTGGACAAAATGAAATTAATCCTGTTTGAATAAGTGTACTAATCTTACCCCACATTTCTATCATTTAAATGATTCTAATGAAATTGCTATAGAATGGGATTATTTATTTTAAATTCTCGCTACTCCACCTTGTTTTTCTGAAGACCTTCAGAGGACATACAGTCCTTACCGATGCGCCACAGTTGGATTCACTTTTGATTGTTGTCGACCCTGTAATGTACTTTATTTATTTACCGCGTATAGAGTACGATGTGTTGAATCTGAAGTGTGTTGCAGATTCTGTGGTAAATGTTATTTACCTTATTTAGCTTTCCTGTTTTGGAATTATTTTTAAACAACGAAAACAGCCATATTCGCACACTGGCCAATAATTTTGTTTGTTTCGGGAAAAAAAAAAAGTTTTGTGAAGTAACCACAAATGGGATCAGGGATTGCATAAATTATCACCCCAACCATAAATAATTTCAATTTCAGTGTTGATAAAATCTGAATATTTTTTCAATGTTGATAAAAACAGAAGCTTTTTTATCTTATTATATACACATGTTTTAAAAAATGATTGGAATTGCTTTTCTTTATCCTAGTAATTGTTTCCAGCGTGTTTCGTTCACTCATTACCCATTGGTGAACAGTGGGACCAAACTAATATTGAATCAAAAAGGTATGATTCCTCTTTCCCAGGGTTCATTCAAGGGCTGTGTTAATTGAATCATTGATTCATAGAGTCCATGAGGTCAGTAGTGATTTAGTCACTGTCTCAGCTTATTGTGGCATTCAGTTTTTGACTCAAACCCATGTTCAGATTTGTTTTCTTCTTAAAGTCTGTGATCAGTTTATGATGCTTTGTTTTGTCTGAGTCAAAGATGACTGTCAGTAAACTTTGCAGATGCGTTTCAGCAAGTGGTGTGTCTATCATGTGCCTTCTTTGTTCAAATGTAAATATTTATGACACGATTGTGCTTCAAGTGCGTTTCATTTTACACCTCTATAACACAATACCCACAATTCAACTGCACCTCCTATGAAGAATCAATTCAAAATTAAGTCTGAAAATATACAAAATGAACCGTGATGGCAACCTGACCCTGAATCATACATTCAAGGTGGATTAACAGGAGCACTTGACATGCCTGAGATCAGAGGTGTGCAGATTAAGGATGAAAGGTGTCTATGATGCTGTGCTCTGGAGCTGAGAGGAGGAGGATGAAGATCTCCCCTCATAGTTAGGGGTTTCTGAGACCAACCAGGGCGACAACCCACTGTGAACACACTATTTCCATCTAGATTTAAGTCATTTGACATGTTGGTTCAAGCCTGTTTAAGGCTGCCCCCTAGTGGACAAAATTACTGTGTCCTGCTCTACTTTATCTAATCCAGGGGTGCCCAAACTCGGTCCTGGAGGGCCGGTGTCCTGCAGAGTTTAGCTCCAACTTGCCTCAACACACCTGCCTTCAAGTTTCTAGTATGCCTAGTAAGAGCTTGATTAGCTGGTTCAGGTGTGTTTAATTGGGGTTGGAGCTAAACTCTTCAGGACACCGGCCCTCCAGGACCGAGTTTGGGCACCCCTGATCTAATCAAATCTATCCCTCATGTGACGGATATGACAGCGTCCACAAACAATTAGAAATGAGTGACTTCATTCTTTACAAATTACAACTCTATGGTTCAGCACAATGTGTAGAAACTGACAATTCACCTTAAAAGCTGCACAGAACATTGTGCTTCACAAGTCCTTCTGTTATGGCACTGCAGTCAGCTTTACTTACAGTCAACACACAGCTTTATCTCGAAATCTTTTTCGTATTCATCTAACAATTGTACACTGGTTTGAAAATACGTATCCCTGTTTAAAAGAATAAATCACCTGAAAAAAAGATTTCATCTTTTACTCACCCTCCAGAGATTTTCCTGTGGGGTTTTATAATGGGCTACTGGGGTGTTTCGATTAATGAGTAAAATAAAGCTTGTGGTAAACATAACTTGACGATACTTTTACGTTTTGTTCTACAACGTAAATGAAACACATCCATACCCAAAACACAAATGTTGAAGGGGTTATGTTCATTTTAGAAAACGTATGTTTTTAATAAGTAACTAAATAAGAACGTTTGGGCTGTAAGTGTGTGCAGTTTACATGTAGAACAAAACGTAAAAGTATCGTCAAGTTATGTTTACCACAAGCTTTATTTTACTCAATTTAAAAAACCTATTATAAAACCCCATAGGAAAATCTCGAAGGAACCCACGGCGAATTACACTTCCGGATTCTGACGTCTTCTTCTTCTTCTTCTTTAAATTTTATTGGCGGTTGACAAACAACAAAATGGTGTATTTCCGCCACCAACTGGAATGGAGTGTGGATCGGATTCTGACGTCATAGCTCCCCCACTCTATTAAAAGGGTCATATGATGTTGCTAAAAAGAACATTATTTTGTGTATTTGGTGTAATGAAATGTGTTTATGCGGTTTAAAGTAAAAAAAAATAAAAAATGTTTAAAAACATTATTTTCCACATACTGTACATTATTGTTTCTCCTCTATGCCCCGCCTTTTTGAAAGCTCATCGGTCTGAAAAAGCGAGGTGTGCTGTGATTGGCCAGCTATCCAGTGCGTTGTGATTGGCCGAATACCTCAAGCGTGAGACGGAAATGTTACGCCCCTCACCATACTGTTGTATTCCCTCAGCGACCAGCACGGATCAGCTCTAGGCATGACGAAGCGGATATCGTCCTCTTTTGGAAGACCAAACAAAGTAGTTTCGCTTTCACAACGAAACACACAGCGTCTTCAGGACATGGCGGCGGCAACAATACTACAGTGAGAATAAAAGTTACGCCTTCTTTCTTTGCGTGAACATTTCGGTGGCGTTATGCAAATCTTCCCACAGAGAGGTATGTGGGGGCGTGTTAGAACGAGCCGTTTTAGGTAGGTGTGGCTGACTCGTAACTTTTATAAAGAATATCTCTTTGGATTTGAGACTTTAGTCTTTGCAACTCTACAGATCTTCTTTATGCACCAAGAGCTTGTAACACTCCAAAGAGAAAGGAAAACTTGAAATCGCATCATATGACCCCTTTAACTGCCTACTTATTGAAATTAATTTGCATTTAGGCCTACACTGATGCGTTTGGCAGATGCATACACTGCATTCAAGGTACACTTTATTCTTGCTTTTCCTGGGAAATGACCTTAGCATAGAGTGCTGAAGGGATGGCATCATTTCTAGGCCAAAACACAGAAACCAGTTAGCATTTTAGCATGTGCGGTTCCGTCCTTAATTCAGTGGGTTTTTTTAATAGGTTTTTGGTTAGATGACTGACATAAGGACTTCAAGCTCAAGATATTTTCATTCTTATTTTATTCTACTACACATCAGAAATCTAGGCCACCTTGTGTTTTTAAAACTTGTCTTGAAAAAGGCAGTTGCTAGCAAGTGGCTATGTGACTAGAGGTTTCGAGGACATGAAACATCATCAAACCGAACAGGAAAACTTATCTACTCTCCAGTCAGCTTTCACAGTTT